ATAGTTAGCAATTATCTTGAGTGACACTGGACCACAGGAGAGTCACTTATCTACGATGGATGACAGAATAACGAAAGGATCTTGATTGGAGAGAGCACATCCAACTTTTACGCTGTCTGCTTTCACACCACATGTTTGTATCAACTTGACTTCCTAAACTGCCTTTTCATAAACCAAGTTGGAGCTCTATCTTCTTATGAAACCATTGTGTTTTACTTTATCCACAATGACTCTGGCAAGGTTGCATGTGAATTTATAATATTGTTGCTGTTGTTTTACTCTAGCTTTACGCTTTTATCTTTACTGCTTATGAAAACGAAGGAAAAACAAGTGAGAAACGAAAGTCCCCTAACCTCTATATAAATGGGTCAGAGATGGAAATCATTAGATGTGCTGAAACTGAGGAAGCTGGGCCCTGCATCCAACAGCCTTTGGAAAGAAGCCAGACAAATCCTGCTCAACTGAGATGAAAATGAACAAATGTTTTAAAAAAGTTAGAAATGCACTCATTAAAAATTGGATCTGAAAATTGAGGCATAATGTGAGAAATTTAAAATATCTTTCCTAGTAAAAGTATGTTTTTTGGAATGGGTATATTTTTGGCTACCTTCAGAATGTTCCACTTCTGAGCACTTTCTCATGGACATGTATAAAAGCAAGAGGTTCCAATTATAGAATGACAGTCAGGAAAACTATTTCCTGCACCTTTTATTTGAACAAGTAGAGTGACAGTCATTTCTCACTGTAATTACCATCCTCAGGTGGTGGCACAAAGTCCAGGGAGCCAATTGTCCTCCAGGCTCTTCAGACATAAGCAGCATGTGTAAGAGTCCCTGCCAACCTTAGCAACCAGAATGGTTCTCTAGCCCAAAGAGGGTTCTGAGCTTGACTCCTTGTAGTCTACCTGTGACTCTTGGAAGTTGCCTTCTTAAAGTGGCTGTCTTGTGGTTAATTAGACGACTGTGATGTGATGCAGAGCAGGGCGGGGAGGCTGGAGAATAATGTAGATGATAGTTACTAGATTAGGTTGTAATTGCAATTTTAAGAACTTGTTTAACTCTTCTTGTATCTTTTCATTTTGAAAAAGTATATTTTGAGATCAAAACACATTTTTGTTCAGTCTTAGGAAATATTCCACAGAGATCCATCTATGCACTTTTCCATTTTGCTGGTTTAATGTCTTCCCCAAATACACTATGACACCATAAATAAAATATTACCCCTGATGCAGTGAAGGTGATAGCAGTTTAGCACCACAAGGGTCTTTTATGTTGATGTTTTGTGACCACGCCCTTTCTCTTCACTTCACCATCTCTAAGCTCCAACAACTACTGATCTGTTTCCCATTTCTATAATTTTTTCTCATCAAGAGTGCTAGATAAGACTGTAGGAGTAGCTCAGTGGTACAGTGCTTTCCTACCCTGCTCAAGGCCCTGGGATGGATTCCCAGCACTGTAAAACTGCAACCTATTGGGTTTGACATTTCTTTTCACTCAGCGTAGTTCTCTGGAGATTTGTTAAAATTATTGCACACAGTAATAGCTCATTATTTTTATTGCTAAGTAGTATTCCATGATATGATGTAACACAGTTTGTCCAACCATTCATTTCCTGAAGGTCCTATGGATAGTTTCTAGGTTTTGGCTGTTATGAATAAAGCCACTATGAACATTCATTTGCAGATCTCTGTGTGTGTGTGTGTGTGTGTGTGTGTGTGTGTGTGATGGGATATAACTTTGCATTTCTGTGTGTTAAATTTCTAAGTGTACAACTGTTGGTTGTATCCCACTTGCAGTTTATTTTTAAGAAAATGGCACTCATTTTTCAAAGTGGCTGACCAGATTACATTCGCACCAACAGTATATGAGTGATTCAGTTTTTCCATAACTTTGCTAACAATTGGAGGTGGTATCATGTATTATTCTTATTATTATTTCAGCCAATCTGATTGGTGTGTAGTGATATCTCATTGTAGTTTTAATTTACCCTTCTTTATTGTTGATGGTGTTGGACCCTTTTTCATGTGATTTGTGACCATCTATCCTCTTTGATGAGGTATCTTTTGTTCATTTGGATCTTGTCCTTTTATAAGTTGGATTTCTTTTAGCTTGAAAGTTATATATTTTATATACTAGCCCTTGCTTACATATGGGTTTGCACATATTTTCTCTCAGCCTCTAGCTTGTCTTTTGATCCTCTTAACAAGGTCTTCATATAGCAAAAGTGTTTCATTTTGATGAGGTCCTGTTTGTTGTCTTCCTTTCATGGATCCCACTTTTGACATTAAGTCTGAGTACTCATTGTCCAGACCATAATCCTAAGCATTTTCTTTTTTTTTTAAAGTATTATCGTTTTACTTTATATTCAAGACAATTTTAATTGTTGTATAACTTGGGCCTTTTAATTTATTTTTCTTTTCTTCTTTGCCTATGGATATACAGTTGATCTAGAGCCATTTGTTGAAGAGATTGGTCTTTCTCCATTGAGTTGCTTTTCCCCCTTCATCCCCATGTTTTATGTCCCTTGATGGATTCAGTAACTAAGAAAGATAAAAACCTGTGCAATTGACTTTAATGATAATACCTCTAGGTATTTAAGAGATAACAGTTCTCTTTAATTACAGTATTAACTTTTAGTTGGTATTTTTTTTTTTTTGGTACTGGGGATCAAACTTGGGTCCTTGTGCTTTTGAGGCAAGTAGCAGAACCACTGAGCTAAAGCCCCTGCCCAACATTTTGGTATTTTAAAAAATCTTTTTGTGTACTTTTAATACAATAGAGATCACAACATAAAGTTTTATGTTGTTTTCCTCCATAATACATCATGTACACTTTTCCATGTCATTACAGATTCCTTCTGATACTCATTTCACATGAGTTACCTATGTTATCCTGTTGCTAGCTAACACAGCATAATTTACTATATCAACATTTTAATTACTATAGTTTTAATATTACTGTGTTATCTTATAGACATATAATATATATTTCTATATTTATGTGGACTATATTTAGTATATATTACTATCAATGTTATTCTACAGATGAATAACATATATTAATTACATACTATAGAAGTGATGTAATTTACTTTGTCATTCTGTATTAGTCAGCTTTCCTGTTGCTGAGACACAAGACCCTATACATAGAATTTAAAGGAGGAAAGGTTTAATTTAGTTCATGGTTTCAAGAGATTTGGCAGGCTCTGAGGCAGAAACATCCTAGTGGAAGGTCATGGCAGAGCAAAACTGCTTGTTCATGGTCCCCAGGAAGCAGAGTAGGGGAGCAGTGCTGGAAAGGATTGGGCTAGGGATCATATATAGTGGCTAAGGTCACAACTGCATGGTTAACCCAGACATACCCGGGAGCTTGCTTTACTAACCTACTGAGCCTTCCTTAACCCAGTGAAGTTATAATTGAGTAGTTTCTAATTCTCATTATTATAAATAATACTGCTAACATTTCAGTATACATACATAGGGATCTGATGCTTATCTAGCCCTCTTTATTTGGAAGTAAACTGCAGCAAGAATAAGTTGATGTTCTTTTGACCACTCCAAACAAGGCAACTGATAATTTACTAGGACAGATGAGTAAAATAGAATATATTAAACATTGCAGATGAGTAGGAGCAAACTTGAATTCCTCTCCCATCTGCCAAGTATTAATAGAACTGCAAGAGATGTTTTAAATCAACTATGGGTTGAATGATTAAATGTTTTATGTAGGCTTTGTTTTGTTTCTTCTTAGAGAATCTTAAATTTTAAAGTATAAAAAATGTATTTATGGATTGAATATATAAATTCACGTATATTTTGTGTAGTTTGAAGGTAATTTAAGAATCAAAGATAATCATGATGGAGCAAGGATCTCCCTTCTGTCTTTAATATGGAATTTCTTGTTTGTTAGCTATATCTTGGGAGCCTTTGCTTTTGGAAAAATTCCCATTCTTTTAAGGTTATTGGTGTTAAATGGCCTCTAAAGATCACCAGTGAAGTAATAATGCCACTTGGAACTTTATCATCAATAAATGTTATCGGTAATTTAAATTCTTGTTAATTTTTAGACTTAAATCTCATCGTATTTGTTTTTTGGAGAACATCATTTTTCACGTGATCATGAGCTCTTTATAGTTTCTCTCTTAGGTATTATTAAATTTTAATATACTAATTTAATCTTTATTACTCCCATTAGGGTGGTTTTAGCTGCTACAATCAGACCCTGATGTAGTGATACTGGTAGGGAGGGTCCCTGGGATAGAGATGATTTCTAAGAAACTTGGAAGGAGATCTCCAATACACAATCAAAAGATTACAAGGAATTATAATATCCTTCTTCTTAGAGTAGAAATGATCCAATTCTTTACCACAGTTCCCACTACTTACCTATCACACAGTGAGTCAACTCAGCCACCACCTTCCATTTATAACCATCAGTGTTGGTCTCTTCAGGAAATAACCATAGAGTCTCTGGTGTGAATTTCCTAAGTAAGAATCTAGTTGGCGTCGATCAACCGATTATTCGCTGATCCAGTGCTTGGTCCATCAATTATGAGGAATCACCACATGGGGTATCTCATTCTAAGTCACATACATCTCTTTAGGGTATTATCAAGTCCATGATTTTCAGATTTAATTGCATTTGAAATTAGATCATGTGTCTTGAATGCCTATGTTATTTGTACTAATTTGGGATTTTAAAAAAATCTCTGGTAATTTTTTCCCAAATGTGCCCAGTGATAATTGTAATTAAAACATGTACAAAAATCTGCCTTCAGATACTTACTTCCTTTTGATTCCAGTAATTATCTGCATTGTATGCTTTGCTCACTGTGGAAACAATTTGGTTTTTAAAATTTTATTTTCCCAAAGCAACATCAGATTTCTGACTTGTGAATGTTTTACAGGCAAAGATTTCGAAAACAAAAAACATTTAAATGCAAATGTTAGTGACAACTGAATCAGTGGAGATCTCCAGCTCAGTCTTTGTATTTCTTTCCAGATTTATCAGCGATGCTGGTTAGTATTCAAGAAAGCTTCAAGCAAGGGTCCAAAAAGATTGGAGAAATTTTCTGATGAACGTGCTGCGTATTTTAGGTGTTACCATAAGGTAAGCCCATGCTGCTGCAGCTTTGGAGAGATCTGTTTATGAGGCTTAAATGCAATTCATTGTCTAAATTATTTAACAAAGATCATAATAATGCATTTTCTGTGGACAAAGAGTCCCTAAAAGAATGTCTACTCCTTAATTGTCTAGAATAATTGACAGATAAATAACTACTCCTGAGGTTTCCTATTTTTTGTTGTTGTTTTTCCTTCTCTGATGTAGAATTTACCATGTTGTTGGGCTGAGGCAGGAGGATCACAAATTTGAGCCCAGCCCAGGCAACTTGGCCAGACTGTCTCAAAGTAAAATTTAAAAACTGTGAGTCAGAGGTAGAGCATTTGCCTAGCATGTGGGAGGCTCTGGGTTCAATTCCCAGTCCTCCAAAAGATAAAAACAAATGCTCATGATGTATGTCGTTATGTAAATTTTCTATTTGAATAGAGACCCAATTGTCTACAGTGAGGCCCCTTGAGGGAGAAGAGTAGGTCTCACTGTGACTAATGCACTGCCTGATGCTGAATGACACTCCTTCAAGGCTTGGGAAATGTAGGGAAGGAAGCCAGGAGGAGGGACAGAAGACACAGGATGGGTGGAACAGAGGAAGTTCCCTCCTTTAGTTGATTTCTTTAAATTTGATGGGTAAGTTTAATTCAGACTTGAAATTTTTATTTTAGTAATAGTGAGACTTTGTCACTGTAGCAGTAATGATGGGTTAAAATACATCATTCGGGAGAAGCACATAAAAGTAATTACAAGATTTACTTACTGTTTGGATTCGCAGGTTAAGAAGAGCTTTTATTCTGCATGGCAATGCTTTTCATGATCCTTGTTAATGCCTTGTCTGCATTTTCTCTTTTCATGAAGATGTGTAAAAGTACATTGTTACTCCTTCCCAACACCCCCATTATTTCCCAATACGCCTCTATTGTTTCTGGAGGACCTATGCTTAGTTTTGTGATGGAACATTTTAAATGTTGGTTCTTTATGTGAAGAAATCCTCACTGGGAGAGAATTCAGTGGGGCTGGGCCTCTCTGCCATTTCATATTTTATGTGAAGCCAGTAATCTGTTAACACAGACGGTTTGGCCAGATGCGGGGAGTGAACTGGCTTTCCTTTCCCCCTGTTTCTTTCAGAAGCTGGGACTTTACAACACTTACTAAAGCCCTATTTGACCTCTTGTTTCTGCAAGGAAGAAAAGCTGTAGGGAAGTTAGTTTATTTCTCAAATTAAAGAAATGCAGAGAATGTTGTAGGTTCCTGGTCCATTTGTACATACAAAAGGGAAGAAAGCATACAAATCAAGGCTTTGCGACAAAAGGAGAAGGGAATCAAGGGCAGTATCTTCCATGTGTTTGATTTCCCCAGGATCTGGGAAGCAGGTCCTTCCAACCCCATTCCAGCCTCCCCGCTCCTTGTGGAAACACCCAATTAGACTTCTTATGAGTCCACATTTTCTCTACCATTTATCTTCCATATGCCAGATATTTCTACTATTCAAATATTTTTTTTTCCTTTCTGTGCTCAAGAAGGAGTTGTTGAATTACAGATCTATTACTCAGGAGCAATGATCCATGAAGCCAGTGAACCGCTGCAGACAGTTGTGAGCCATGCTCTCCATTTCTGTCATGCTCTAGACTACTGGTGTCCAGTTATTTGAGGCCAGATGCATTATGTGCCGTTTATCGCAGTGTAGCCAACCTTACCTAATAACAAGATGCTGAACAATGCTATAGGAATGGCTTATTTTTGCTGGAGAGGTCTTACCTTCAAAGCAAGCTCCAAAAGTCCAAGGGGGATATTTAGCTCATTTGTTGGCCAAACACAGAGCTTAGGTAGCCAGAAATTGCAGTTACGCTTCAGCGAGTCTCCCGAACACCTCAGCCAGTCTGTCACTTTACAGTGCACTGCTGACCCATGTGCTCTTTGGTCATTGTGTGTTGCCACTGATGCCCTTGAGTCCTTCCTTGTTTTGGTAGAGTTCCAAATGTATCAAGAAATATTTTAGTCTTTACAATTCCCTATGCTTACCTTTCTGAAGGCACAAAAATGAAGAAACAGGTCATGTTTTCCTGGTAGATCCATGCATACCTATGAGAAGAAAGGCGTGAAGACTGTAGGAACTGCTCCAGTTCAGTCCATTGCATGAGGTGCTGGCTTAATGCTCCAGCCGGGTCCAGACTGAACACTGCCCACAACCTGTGTGGCCACCCCTGGGTGCCAAGCCACTGACCTGCTCATTCTCGGCCCTCTTCAGTCTCCAGCACATCATGATGCCCTTCATCTCAAATCCTTCAGTCCAGTTCTTGCCATGGCCTGAAGGAGCCCAGGATTTGACTCCCTGTTGCCCGTGGAATCCCATCTGCCAGTTTCTCAAATCCCATTTTCTCTGTTCCAGGTACCTCGAGATCTTTGTTTTCTTCAGACAATGCCTGGCACATTCTTACCCTTATTCCTCTTCTAGTTGCCCCCTCACCCCGAATTCTCCCATCCTCCAAACCCACATAAATCACTCCTTTAACATTGCTCAAATTCCTCTCTGAGACCATTCCTTGAACCCCTGATTTAAAGTGGAACCCACCTACACACTCCCTTCTAGTCTCTCTTTTTTTGTTGTTTTGCTTAGCACTTATTACTGTAGACATAGTTACTTGCTGTTTCCTGTTGTCTTCCTGTCCCTAGCATAAAATAAGATCTGCCTTCCACCATCACTATTAATTACTAGTACTTCACACATAGTAACACTTTTTAAAGTCTGGCTAAAAAAAACAAGACAATATTATCAACAGAGGAGGTGGAATATATATAATGTTGATGTGGCATATTTTTTATTTAATTTACCATTAAAAAAATATCTCAGCTGGGTGGGCGTGGTGGTGCACACCTATAATCGCAGCCCTTGGGATAGGCTAGCCTGGGCTACATAGTGAGTTCAGGGCCAACCTGGACTATGTAGTGAGATCCTGTCTCAGAAAAACAAACAAACAAACAAACAAACAAAATGTCTATTTGAGGCAGCTGAAAGCAGGAAAAGAAACTTCACTTTGGAGGAAATGGGGTGGGTGGGTGGGTGGTGATGGGAACAGAACTGCCCAGGGTTAGGAAGTCGAAAGAGGACAGATTCAAGTGTGAAGCCAAAGTGGATTGAAGAATTCTCCCTTGAAAGTGAATGGAGTGAGAGGAAGCTGAGGACAAAGCCATTTGCCCTATTTCAGATTTTTACCTGCTGGCTTTGCAATTTAATATGCAAATCTTCGGGCAACGTGTGGTAAGCCACATTCTCTTTCATCTGTAATAACCATTAATGAAAGTTCAAAGCATCAGAATGGAGAATTATCTACATTAAGCCTCCCAGCCCTTGATGAGTTATTGTAGCCGATTCATCCTCTTTACTCTTTTAGATCTGATGCATTTAGTATTAATCTCTTGGGGGCATATAAAAAGCTGGAGTAATTCTGAGACATGCATTTTTTAACTAAATGCTGTGTAATTTATGAATCCTGATGTTAAAATGTCGAGGTTATACGAAGCATGATGTGACCAGACTTCGGAGTCTGTTCTCATACAAATAAAGCAATTCCCAAAAGAAAGGAAGAAATGGACATTATGCCACTTGATCGATACAGAGCACAGCCCAAGGAAATCTCAGTACATGTGAGTGCACATTGTAGTGTTCGGGATGTTATTTTTTACAATGCCAATTTTGAATATCTGAATCTTTTGTAGAAATTTTCATATAAGAGATTATGGAATTTAAACACTTGATTCATTCCTTCCTGAAAATGTAGCCAAAGGTGCATTTGCAAAATTTGGAAAATAAATATATGAATAATGCACATAGAGAATGCCTCATTTTCCATTTCTTTCCCTCCTCCATGAAGTACACCTCAAGCATGCTGAGCTGTCAGAGACGGCTGTGAATTTGATTAACTGTAATTGCAACCATATTAAAACTCCAGTGACTTTAAATGTAGTTCTTGACCTTCTTGTAAATGCGCAGTCCCTGTTTGCATTCAGGAAAGAAAGTTACTGGCCTCACTAGAGAGGTTGAAAGTTTTCTTGCATAATTTTACATTTGGGGAGTGAGAAACACTTGGGACAAAGTCTAAGTGGAAGGAAGAACACCCTTTGCTTTTAGACCAAGGAATGTTGAGTGGTTGGAAGTATGCAGATTGGGACTTGGGAAATCTGGGTCCTAGTGGCGGCTTTACCGCTGTGTTTTTGTCCAGTTGTTTAGTTGTGTTTAAAGGTGGCCTCTACGGTTTATCCCATATGAGCTTCCCCATATGCACACACTGCTGAGCCTGAACTATCCAGTTCACATTGGACCAGAAGGATGATTTCAACACGTGCTCAAGGCTGATGTTTCCAAAAATATGTACAACAGACTCTGGTCATTAGCAGGGCTTTGTGGTCAAAGAAATTTGGGAGCTGCAACATTACATCCCCACATTGAGACTCATAATCCACTGTAGTTTATCACAGCCTCTGAAAAGTCCTAAACACAGGACACCTGAGTAACCTTTAACTATGAGCCAGCATTTCCAAAACTGACTGGGTCAAGGACTCTTTAAAAAAAAAATCATATATTCCGTGGACCAGGTTAATTCTGAGGAAGTGTCTGGAAACAACAGCTTTTATGCATTACTTTTTGAATTAAATGTTGACTTGGCTCACTGCTGTCTGAACAGTGAACAACTAAGGATGATCTTTCCTCCTTCATCAAAATTATAAGGTTAATCTGTGTATTAAAAGATAAATGTGAATGTATGTGAAAGAGGAAAGACTTTCTAACTGCTGGAAATTATTGCCTCCCCCTTGCCATTTTGCCAAATCCCTTCAGGCTTACCTTTCTGTCACTCTAGAGCTTTTTTTAGTGAGCAGACCATTCTTATAATGCCCAAAGTCAATGCAAAACCTGTTTCATTGTTTTTGAAAAAATAGGTTCCAGGTTCCTTGGAAGGAGTTATTGTCCTAAAAATTATTTCTCTGGAACTTCTTCCAAT